ATTACAACATAAATATGAAAACTCAAAAAGACGGAGGAAAGAACAAGAGGTCTCATTATATATTAGTTATTCTCTAAATTTTGTTTAGGATAAGTACAAAAGATCTCTTTTATCAAAAACAGAGAAGAAAGAACATTGATTCAAAAGATTAACCTACACAAAGTTGTAGTGGTGAAGGGTTGTGCCTTTGACCTGCAAGGACAGCACTCTCTTTTATCTTCAACCCACAGTTGCTCCGGGTTGCAACCAAACAAAGCCAACTTATAAGAAACTAGGTAGAGACATAAACTTAATATTACCTCCGGTCTTTAATATAAGAGCTAGTTGATTAACTTGAGTAAATTAAGTAAATTAGTTAAGTTAGTTATTTGCAATAAATAAGTATTGTTTTTCCTAGAATAATCCTTGCTAATTATGTGTATTAGCTAGATCTATTATTTGATGGAACATTTAACATGTGTAACTACTACGAGAACTATGTTGGAAAAAATGGATAAATATGATAGACAAAATAGATTAGGATCTTCTGTTTAAGACCAAATTAAATGTTAAACTATTTCTTGTATTAAAGGCCAAGTGTAGTATCACATTCAAAATTATTCCCTTCGGATAACAAGCAAGAAATATGAAGGTATCCTGACTTTGAATTTATACCTAGAAAAGAAAGACATGGTATGTTAAAGAGAAATACACAGAATGGGCCAACCAGCATCAGGAAGAAATTAACCGGAGAATATATAAAATATGCTGTTAATTTAGTCCAGTATAAGCTAGTGCATAAACTTTACACCCCCCACTAGAATTGGATTCCAAAATTCCTTATGATAGATTGGAATTTCAAACAATAAGTTTCGGCTTGAAGCTCAGGATTCCACACGTGACACTTTCTTAATATTTAATATAGATGTGGAGAATGTGATCATGGCTTTATTTATCATACAATAGGCCGTTCAAGCCAGTATAACCATGTAATATAAAATATATTCTCTTTAATTTAGCTGCCACTGAATCACTCCCATTTATTGAGTTCACACTCGAATCAAGCTATTAGTTAAGCACTTGGGCTTATCTCGGCAAGATATAAAGGTCAGTTGTAATTATAATAAATTCAACTGCATTTTATAATTCTATTATCATGTAACTTTGACTAGAATGTGTGGTTAGAAAGGTCAATGTGGCAAATCTACGAATCAGGCATGCAAGCATGATTACTTTTTTTTTTTTTTAAAAATGTAATGTACATTATTAATAAAGTAAGTTCCCTAGAAAGGAAAGGCAATGAATTTCTGCAGCAGCAAATTACGGTCAGAGAAATATTAAAGTTTGGCTAAACATAATAAAGTATGAACCTGTCAAGGCCTTCGTAACAACTTCTCTGTCAGAAGTTGGTGGAAGAAGCATGATAAAATTTAAAATTAAATTAGACATATATCAATGAGAATAGTCTACACAAAAACTTAAAATTAGGACACAGTAGAATATATTAGACTTCTTAGTTATAGGGACTGGGAAGTGAGGCTTTATTATGTAAGCAGAGATGAGGCAATTTTTGTTGATAGATTAGCTAAATTTTCTCATAGGTTAGAGTGTAGTTGGTGTCTCCTTGATTAACCAACACCTCTAAGTTAAGTCAAGAGGCGGAGCTTGATGAAGGTGAATAAAGATCTTTTGTTGTTTTCCTGATTGTTTAGTGTGTTTTCCAGTTTTTATTTTTTGGGGGGGGGGGACTTAAAGGTATATGATCATATTTCAAAAATACCCAAGAGTGACAAAGCCTTTGCCAATGCATCAAAATCACGATTTACAAGATGGAGACAGCTTCAATGAAAGGGAGAATTGCTATAAAATCTCAAGTAAAGAATATAATTACTAAAAAGTTTTAATAATAATAGAGCAATTTGTAATGGCAAATTTCAAGTAGTAAATGGCAATTGCTCACTTGTTATAGAGACTTGCTAGTAATTATATTCTTTTCTTTCAGACCTTATTGTAACCATCATGAAATTCTTGTTTAAGGGGGGTATTTGGCAGCATAAAAAAGTTTTTTTGAAAAGTTTTTTTTTGGCAAAATGAAATAAATTTTTTCACATATTTATTTCGTATATCATAAAAGCACTTTTAAAATTATAGTTTGGTTTTTATCTAAATATTTCCTAAATTCAAGCTTCGTACCAAATTTTGGTAAAGAGAAAAAAGAAATATGAAAGAAGTATGTTTTATGTATTACTATAGAGGTGTCTGGATAGAAACCAAACTATGATTTTAAAAGTGCTTTTACAGTTTACGAAATAAATATGTGGAGGAGTTTGTCTCATTTTGTAGAAAAGTGTTTTTAAAATCATGGTTTTGGGTTTGCTAAACACCCCTTATGTTTAATGAGCTAGACAGGCAAAGTTGCTTGTAAGTTTGTTATAAAAAAATTAAAATTCTTTTGACCAATATTAATATATAATAATTTAAATATTATTAATATTAATTAATCATACAATGAAATAACTAAGTATAATATTGTATTATAATCTAATTATATTATTATCTTTTAAATTTCAGTTCTTTTATTTAATTATAACTTTGCATGAAATATTTAAAATATATTTATTTTTTTAAATTGATCATAAATGACATTCACTTTATTTAAAATTTTTAAAATAAAATTTATATATGATATATTTATTTGTGGCATCTGTTGCTTAGTCAACCGATGCCATAGTTGCTATTACAGTGTGTTAAAAAACTGATATGAAAATATGATAATATTTTTAATCCTTTGTATTACAATTATTTTTTAATGGAAACTTCATTCTTTTGTACATTGTATATGGATAATTTATAAAAAATTTGTAAATTTGAGAGATAGAATAAATTAAATTTTTATATTTAGGACAGAAATAAACTCTTTATTTAACTCTTACATTTCACATTGGAGGGATTACCATTTATCTTATCAAATAGTTCAATGCATTTGCAAATCTATAGGAAATTTAAATACTTTTGAAACAATTTCTACCTGCTGAATGTTTTTAATGAGCATTAAATAAATAACATTTAAGTATTGGAGGATGGTCCTTTAAAATCCATTTTTAGTTTATATGGGATACATATTTTTCCTTCTTTTTTTTTTTTTAAATTACTAGACAAAGTAAATGATCTTTTCTCAAAAGAATTCTTATTCATCTACTTTATATTAATCCATCCCTGCGCTGATACATGATAATAATATAAGTCAATCAGTGAAATTATTTCATTAGTTTATGCTAAATTCAGAGTTATTAATTGAAATTGATTTTTCTTTCTTTCTTTTTTTTTAACAGTATGAAAAATTCTTTAAAAAGACATTTAAATGACCCCAGTTCTTATTTGAGTCATTAAATTATATTTATTAAACTTTTAATTAGGTCCCAAAAATCTTTTAAAATAATTTTTGATGCATCTAATACAAAAAAAATATATTGTTATATTAAAATATTTTATAGTGTTGAGTGCATAAAAACTAGTTTAGAGTATTGAATGCTTATGGGAAGATAATTCAAAGTAGTGGATGATAGCTAACCTATTTTTAAATTATTAATTATTTTATTTAATTTTAGTCTTTGCATGAATTATACTGTGTATAAGTACTATGTATCTGTCGGGAAGGAAGATGTAGGGAGTGGGGTAGGCTTTTTAGCAAGGTTCAAAAAACCAGACCGGACCGGCCAGTTCAAGCCGGAAACCGGTGAACCGGCGTCCAGTCCGGTTTGGTTTAGCTTATGAACCGGCCTTGGAATAAACCGGAAAGAACCGGGATGGACTGGAAAAAATCAGTACAAACCGGGAAAACCGCTGGGTCAGATGGGTCGCCGGTTTCCTTTTTCCATCACTTCTTTTCCACTCTCACCATTTGCCGGAGAAGCTATGAAACATCTCATGGTGGTCGAAGAAGCTGTACATACTGGATACTGCTGAGAAAAATGGTAGGAGCATAGCAAATCATGGAGAGAGACTCAGAAATTTGTTCAGAAGTCTGCTGCCTGCTCCTTTGATTATGCTTAAAGGCGAGGAGGAAGCTGGAAGTTAATGGAGTGGGATAAGCTGTGTATAAGGAAAGAAAAATAAGAATGGAAGAGCACGAGAGGCGTAAGAAGCAATTGAGAGAAACGGGAGTGATGATGAGCGTTTTCAAAAATCAAAATGCAAAGTCTGAGCCTGCTATGTGCCAGTGTACATTATTCAAGGAAGAGAGAGAGAAACAAAGAAAGAAAAAGCTGACTTGGTGTGCGTGTTATGGTGGGAAATGGCAGCAGTATCACGTGGGGTGAGAAGAAAGAAGTAAAATAATAAAAAGATAAGGATTTTAATAGGTAAGGAGAAAAGAAGACGGGATGAAATAGAATAAAAATATAAATTTTTTTTTATATTTATTCATTTTAATTAATTATATTATTTTAATAAGTACCGGTTTGATCCGGTTAGACCCCGATCTGACCCATTAACCCTTAAACCACTACATTAACCGGTTTAATGTCCGGTTCGGTTTTTTGTTCCTTGCTTTTTAGAGAAGAATGGACAAAGAGATGGTAGCCTCTTGCCACATGTTTTTATGAATTTTTTTTTAAAAAAAATGATGAAGAACTCGTTCTTGTCGTTTTTTTTTGTTTTTTCAAAATTCATCTCCTAAAGGAGTAGTTTGAATATATTATTTAGGTTAATTTTTTTTTCTTCCATTAGATCACATACATATTGTTTATTGTGCAGAGCATTTTTATCAAAAAGCCATCAAATTAAATCTCAACACAAGCAAAGTTTTATTCGTAAGTTAAAAGATCACATACATAACATATCTGCCTCTCTTATTTATAATAATCACACACGGGTGTAGATAGAGACAGGCCAAGTATATTCCATATACTGGCTTCTATTTCCACAATACATTTATTTTTATTTATTTATTAGAGATTTATTATTGTTTTTGTTATTACTATTATTGTTATCATTATTGAGCTTCCTAGGCTTTGGAGCCAACCATGCATGGACACACGTACAGCTCCGCTTGCTCCGTTCGCCATCTTCTTCTTCCTTATCCTCTCTTTTGCAATTAATACAATCAAACGAACCAAGGGTAAGAAACACAAACAAAAAGCTCTTAATGCACTGTTAAATACTATAAACCCTAATTTCTTGATAGAAAAATATATAATATGATAACAAGAAGAGAATATACTTTTGAATCCTGAATAGTTGATTTCTTTAAGAAATGATTGCTTAGTCTTTTTAAAACAATGATATTATCTGAATTATTTGAAAGTCTGAGTGATTATCGAGGAGGATGTATATTCATCTTCAAAGACAACCTAATTTTTTCAAAATAAGCTTTTCAGTGTTGTTAACTATTCCCTTTCAAGCGTGAGACATTAAAGTTCACCAATATTACCCCAACAATTTCTCGCTATAAAATTAAACCTCTCTCTCACACACCAAAATAATGGAAGTTGAATTACTAAGAAGATGTCTTGCCTGGCCACAGCAGTTGCATGCTGACAACTTGTCTTTTATTTTCATTTCAATGTAGTTTGTCACTTGTTCTGCTATTTCTCCAGCTTCTCTGCCAACTGCTACCTCCTTGTATCCTTTTTTTAGTAGTGCCTTTATTGTCTCCTTATTTTCTTTTATTATATTTTTTATTATCTCCTTCAGCTGCAATCAAAACAAGCAAGACAAACAAACCAAGGGTAGGTAAGAACGCACACAAGCAATAACTAGTTAGTGCAGTGTATTATTATTGTATTTGGTTCCTCCACTAGTACGAAGAAATTAGGGTTATGGTGCAAATTTATCTCAAAAGTTTTGAGTGTTTGAAAGTGTTTTTGGGGGCTAATTTGCCTCGTAAATTTAAAATCATGATAATATTACCCCCTGCTAAAAAAAAAAAATTTGACTCTTAAAATAGTGACTTTAATAGTTAATATTTTTAACGGTGTGAGCAATATTGTTATAACTTTAAGCTTAGGGGACAAATTTATATCTTAACCCAAAAAATTAAGAATTATATAATATGTTACATAATCTCTCTAAAATACTTATAGTATTATTATATTATATATCAGTTTGTGAATAGGGTAAATTAGTTTTAGGAAAAAAAAAGATAAATACAATAGTTTAAAATAATTTATTTAATTTTTTTAAATTTTTTTAAATTAATTAATTAAATCTTACATTATAGACGGAATGTACTATTTTGAAATCCTTGTGTCCTTCAAAATCCAAGAATAACTAACCTAACACATACACATAATGTTAAGAAATAAAAACACGACTTGCCTTGCCGTCACAGCCACAGTCACTTATTGCTTTTTCAATCTCTGCTATCACATCATCTGCTGCTTTCTCTGCTTCCGGGTCTAATGGCTTCATTAACATTTCTTTTATTGCTTTTTTAATTAGGGGCTTCAACGTCTTCAAAAGACCCTCCGCCTGCAGTCAAAGGAGGTAATAGAAACAAGGCAAAATATCATTTGAATTTCAAATGTCCTAACGTCCTTGTAGCACAGCAACTAACTTAACACGCACACATAATGGAAAGTGGTGTTAAAGAAAAAAGAACACAGCTTGCCATGTGACAGGGACAGCAACAGTTATTATTGTTGTTGCTGTTATTACTGCTGCTACTAGTGGTCCTGGTCTTACTACGGATCTCAGTGTACAGCAGTGTCAAAACGGCAGCTCCCGCTCCTACTCCGAGCATAAGCCCCAACGCTACAGGATTTACACTAGCCACCACTGGTAACACCTTTTGAAGATGGCAGCAACAAGAAAAGCCATATAAGATATATCAGTTATTAATTTTCTTCCTTTCGAGTATTATAATGATAGAATACGCGCACATATAATAAAGAGTTGAAAGGTTTAAAAAGTTCAATACCAAATTTCTCCAAAAAAGAAAAGGAACAGAAAAAAAACTAGATGAATTAATTGACTTTCAAAATCTAAGAGCATTTGTAGAGCACGCGAAATACCTCAACTGCCTCCGGAGCGACAGCAGCTAGCCACGGAGCGACAGCCACAGCCATTTGTCTCTCTCACTTCAAAACTTGGAATGCTTAAGGTATGGCGCATATCCCACAACCCAACGTCGTTGCTCCTTATATAGAGAGAAGCCTCAGGCATCGAAGGAAACAGGAAAATACTTTCATAAATAGGAAAAAACATTCCATATGATATACACGTGGATAATCTTTTTTTATTTTTTGGTTGGAAAAAGGAACTGTTCGAATATATATGTGTGTGCGAAGAAAAATCCACACCCTAGACTGGCTATATCTATTATAGCAGGTCTAAGAGGTGGAAGTATTATTTTTTTATACTAGCTAATTATTTTTATGCCATTGATTTGTTTTTATAAGGTCTATTTCTTTTGGTTGTTGCTTGCTTTATTTTACCACCTGCAAAGGAGTTACATAATTTTAAAGTATTAGATTTTGTAAATGTAATTTAACCCTGACATCTGCTTGCTACTGAAGGCCGGCCCCTTTCTCAAGCATTGCTAAAGTCGGAAAGAACCTCATCGAAAATATATATATGTAGATACTCTATATTTCTTTTTTGTAAAAAGAACCTCGTTGAAAACATATATATATATATATATATATATGTAAACTATGGTAATTGCATTTTCGTAAACATGCAGTTTAAATCTTAGATCTCTGTTTTTTCTTACATCACGACTTCTGGAAGCAAATATATTTAATTCATTATTGTCCCCTTTGTCGGAAAATATCTAGAAACTCTCCTATATTAATTAGCAGTTTGGTTGATTTACGAAATTTTTAAAACTATAAGAAATTAGCCCCTCTCTATACGTACTCCCTCCGATCCACTTCCATATATAGGAAACCTTTTTTGGGTGTGATTTGGTTTAAAATATAAAAGACAAATCACTTATGTCTAGTATGTTAACCGCAGTATTCCAATTATGCCCTCGGATATGGTTGTATTGTATTAATTGTATTTTTAGCAACTAAAATTAATTTTAATGGGCAGAAATACATACATTAAAAGGAGCACATTTGAAAAATAATTTTTGTTTGGTAGAAAATTAAGATGGACTATTTTTAACGAACTTTTTGAATTTTATGAGTTAGTTATTTATTCCTTATATAGATTTAATGATCTTTTGTCAAAGGATTCTTGGTCTAGCGGCACCAACTGCACTTCTCAAAGAGAAGCTCGCACGTTCTACTCCGAGGTGGGTAGTCTTCGATTGGGTTTTCTCAACTTTGGGGGAGGTTTTGTGTGTGAGTAATTTGTCCTTCAGAAAAAAAAAGAATAACCTTTCGGTGAATAAGATATGGGGAAGTTAATTTATGCGAATTTACCAAGATAGGACACCACTTGCAAACTTTTCGTAAATTATTTATTTTACGAAGTTAATTATATATGTAGAAGCCAATCCCCGGGCCCTTATCGTTTCAATATCATTCGATTTAATGTTTAGAGAACCAAACCAGAATATAGACAGAAAACGTGGGTACTGGATTCCTGAACTTGACATTCAAAAGATGATGCCTTGATAAAAACTTCAGTGGTTATAAATTATTTATATATTGATACGATCTTCACATTAATTGACAACGAAACAAAGTGACAATGTTGAAATATGTCTGAGAGATGATAATGTGCTTCATCTTATTGACGTGGGTATTGGATTATTTTACGTGATAATTCACACATATTAGTCATACCAAGAATGAGTTCCATCTACAAATTGCCTTTATAGTTATTTATTGTGTTTTTCATTAGCTTTGGACAATAAGCTAACCAATCTTTGAAATATTATATATCATATGTGCGTGCGCGCATTCATGCATCCGTGTAGTTGTTGTTAGATTAGAACGTCATTGTTTTTTTTTTTTAAACTTTCAGAGCGATATTGAAAAAAAAATAACTTCTGAATACTGATAACCTATTAGCAAAAACTTCCTGAATAAAAATGACTCTTAACCCTAAATTTTAAGTGTTCGTTATAATCAAGACAACCTTCGTAAGTCAATCAATACTCATAAGTATGCTTACAAATTATTCACCAACTATATCAAATATTAATATCTTAACAAATTCGAATCACATCAAGAGACAACGCTACTCACAAAATAATTATTGGCTATATACTACGAGTTGCAAAAATTTTTAGAAATGAGTTATATTGTTGATGACTTATAAATAAGGAAAAATAGCAAATAAAAACCCTCCAATATGCAAAATGGCAGACAGGTCACCTGAATAAGTGAAATTGCTCACAAGGACCAGGTCTCAAATTGCCATTATGAAATCATGGCCAAATTACCAAAATACCCCTCTTTATTTTTTTTAAAAAAAGAACACCACTGCCTCTCCGGAATCCGGCCGCCGGCACCGGAGCTCCGTCCACCGGATACTGGCGCCCGGTTCCTGCCATTGCGGGCAGCCTTCCTTTGTTTTTTTTTTTGCAACTGTTTTTTTTTAAATAGGGGGGAAGTGAGGTTGGGGGGATTTGATCCCCTAACCTAATGCTTCCCAAAATTAAGAATGACCATCGAGCCAACAAAGTTTTACTAACATTATAATACAAAAAAAAAATAAGTTAACTCATTTACTCTTGTTCCAGGTGATAACAACAATACATTTGGAAATAACAAGTTCTGATTGTAAAATAACACGTCTGGAATGAAAATTTAACAATATGTTTTTTTTATAACAACAAATTTTGTTGCAGGTGATAACAACAATATATTTGAAAATAACAAGTTTTGATTATAAAATAACAAGTTTGGGATTAAAATTTAACAACACGTTTTTTTTATAACAACACACTTTGTTTCAAGTGATAACAACAATACATTTGGAAATAACAAGTTCTGATTATAAAATAGGAAAAATTGCAAATAAAGACCGTGGAATATATAAAATCGCAATTTGGGTCCTTGAATTTATATAATTGCTGTCAGAGACCCGGTCCCAAATAAGAATTATGAAATGTTAGGTAAAAGACAAACGCCCTTTTGCTTTTTGGCAGTCCCTTGTCTTTATCTTTCTTCACTTTCCAAGTCGTCTCCCTCTTTCTTCACTCTCCGACTCATCTCCCTCTTCTTGATGATGAACCATACAAATCTCTTGAAGAAATTGAGGCTAACACCATTAGAAATCTCCTTCCTGATGAAGATGGTCCATCTTCTGGTGTTTTTGATGACTCAAGTTTCAATAATTTACCAAAACTGGTGATAACCTGGAAGATTTTGATCTGTTTGGCAGTGGTGGAGGTATGGAGCTGGAAGGCGATGAACATCTAACTATAGGAAAAGGGGCCAATGGTCCAGATAAAGATCCTAGTTGCTTCGGACGTTTTAAAGGGAAACTTTCTTTTGTTGAACATTCTTCTAGAACAATTTTTGTTAGAAACATTAACAGCAATGTTGAAGATTCTGAGCTAAAGACTCTCTTTGAGGTGCTTCTTTATTGTTTTACGTTGATAGATGCTATGCTAGAATTCTTAGAAAGTATTTTAGACTTTGAATATTATAAAAAGTCAATGCAATTTCTTGTTTGTTTTGATAGTAATATGGTGATGTCTGAACCAAGTTTGATAAGTTGTTGAAAATAACAAATTGACAAGTTCTGATACCCACTTCACGACAAGTTCAATAATGCGAATAACAAGTTTAGGAAGGCAAATAACAACTTCTGATAAGCAATTCATAGAAATTTGAGTTTCTGTGTTAAGATGACAGCATTTTCAGATTTCTTTAGCAGATGACAAGTTCTGATACACAATTCATGACAAGTTCAGTAAGGCGAATGACAAGTTTAGTAAGGCGAATGACAACTTCTGATAAGTAAATCATAGAAATTTGAGTTTCTGTGTTAAAATGACAGGTTCTCATTAGGTTTTCATACTTTTTCTGTTAAAATGATTGGATTTTCACATTGATTTATCAAATGACAGGTTCACAATAGAAAATGACAAGTTTCCATAAGATTTTCATACATTTTCATACTGTTTTTGGCTGGAATTGCAATTTGCATATTTCTGACAGCAACAACTTATGATAAATATGACATGACAAGTTTATAATGAAAAATGACAAGTTAAGTATGGCAAATGACAAGTTCCCATAATGTTTTCATACTTTTTCATACTTTTTCTGTTGGAATTATAATTTGCACATTTCTAACAGCACCCACTTTTGATAAACACGAAATAACAAGTTCATAATGGAAAATAACAAGTTAAGTATGGCAAATGACAAGTTTTCATAATGTTTTCATACATTTTCATACTTTTTCTGCTAGGATCACAATTTGCACATTACTGATAGCAACCACTTTTGATAAACAGTAAATAACAAGTCTACAATAGCGAATGACAAGTTAAGTATGTAAAATGACAAGTTCCCATAACGTTCCCATACAATTGTAAATTTTTCTGTTAAAATAACAATGTGCAGATTTCTGACAACAAATACTTCTGATAAACAGTAAATTACAAGCCCATAATAGCGAATGATAAGTTAAGTATGTAAAATGATAAGTTCCCATCACGTTTTCATACAATTGTAAATTTTTTTGCTGAAATAACAATGTGTAGATTTCTGACAGTAACCACTTTTGATTAACATCTTTTATCATCAATTTCACCTCTCATTTCCTCCTAATGTATAAAACTATAGCACCAGAACTCTCATAAGCCCCTCAAGAAGCATGCTCATATCAACATCAGCGGCAAATGCACTATGATGATCATATCCACTCACAAGTGCATCCTCAACCATGAAATCCCAAATGTAAATTGTCATATCATATGAACAAGAAACCATCAAATTCTACATATAAGGTGAGAACTTTATTCATTTAGCACTGTATTTAAGGCTCGTTTGTTTCTCACATCCCACACCTTGATCGATTTATCCACCGAAATATAATCATCATACTTGATTTCCACAATTTAGAGCCTTTTTGCAATTATCAGAAGTTGGTGCTGTCAGAAATGTGCAAATTGTAATTCCAGCAGAAAAAGTATAAAAATGTATGAAAACGT